AGGGAGGAGGGAGGAGGGAGGAGGAGGAGGGAGGAGGGAGAGGAGCAGGAGGAGGAGGAGGAGGAGGAGGAGAGAGGAGGAGGAGGAGGAGGAGGAGGAGGGAGGAGGGAGGAGGAGGAGCAGGAGCAGGAGGAGGAGGAGGAGGAGGAGGAGGAGGATGAGGAGGAGGAGGAGGTGGTAATTTATGAGGGATCGCGATGTAGGGAGAGCGGACGCAGCGTAGTCTACGAGGGGTCGCTGCCCGGGCGCAGCGTACTTGTCAAGGGGTCGTGGCCCCGGGAGCGCAGGCGCGGTGCAATCTCAAAGGGGCCACACGGCCCTGAGGCCGTGGACACTTTGCAATTTGTCTGGGCTCGTGGTCGCGGGCGCGCGAGCCGGTCGCAATCTACAAGGGGCCCCCCGGGGGGGCGGCCAGAGCATACTTTGCGAGGGGTTCTGCCCCTGGGGGCGCGGACGCGATCGCAGCCCAGGGCGCTTGATTCATCCCCATCTACCAAATTCTGATGAGTTACCAGTTTGAAGCATATCCCTATCCCTATGTTTGACGTCACCTCACCTCGATGCCGATCTTAAGGATTCCCTCAGTTTCTGAGGGCCTATCCCTAAGATTGTCCTCGCTTTTTGGTCGCCCATCTTAGGGATAGGGATAAGTTCGAGGCTAGTTAAAGAGGTCCGCATCGTGACAGCTCTCTTGAGGTCCGCATCTGCCCAGCTCTTGGCGTGGTGCGCCGTCCTTGCTGCGGTCGCCGTGGCAGGTGCCAGCGCGGGAGGCCGAGACGTCGCTCCAGCGGTGACGGCAGTTGTGTGCGAAGTGTGTCCCTCACCCTCTTCCCTCCTCCTTGGCATCGCTCGGACGTGTGCATTTTTCCTTCGGCGAGGATTGTCGAGGAGCATCCCTGATCATTTGGCGAAAAAGCCACGCGCGAAACCGACACAAAAAACACAGGAAATGGACGTCCGAGCGATGGCCAGCCCCTCCTCTCGGCCGCGCGCCGGGGGGGGAACGTGGGAGGCGGGCCTTGCCAGAGGGCGACGGGGCGTTTCGGCAGCCCGTGATGGCGCACCCCTGCGTTAGCAATATCTGGGGGCGTCTCGAGCGAAGCGCTCGTTTTGCAGCACTCGGGGCGCCCCAGGATGTCCTGGTGGTTCTGGGAGTGCGGTCGGACCGTTATCCACGAGCTGGGGCCAAGTGTTGTCACATGCCCAGGCCATCTCCAGCACGGTGTCCCGAGCTACAGCCACATGTTTCTACGTGTCCAGGCCGCCTGGGGGTCGGGTATCTCAGATGGTTGCTTCTGGCCCCTCGCTGGAGCCACGTGTTTCATGTTGCCAGGCCGCCGAGAGAGTATCCAGCATGGTGGCCTCGAGCTGGAATCACGTGTTTTCCCTTGTTCAGGCCACCCAGGACAGGTATCTAACATTGTTGCCCCGAGCTGGAACCATACGGTTTCACGTGTCCAGGCCACCCAGAGGGGTATCTAATTTGGTTGCCCCGAGCTGGAACCGCGCGTTTTTCCCCGCAAGTGCGTCGCCCCAGGGTTCTGTTTGAGGATGGTAAAAGTGTTCCTGGAGCCTGTGAGGCAGTCGGATTCTTTGTTCAATCAAAAACTAGATTGAAGGAGGCCTGGAGATTATTTTTGGAGGATGTCTCAGGCGAAGTGCTGGCTTTCGAAGTTTCGCTCGGTAAACCAAAAGGTGCGGTGCATTGTTTGGCAGAAGAAGTGCATCCCGTGCGTGCCCGCTCGAGAAAGTGTGCCCAGGGGGATATCTAACATGAGGTCGTCGTTTTCGTAGCGCCTGAAAATACGCGCGCGGAGGGGATGTCGCACATGCGTCTGACGCCCGTGTGCTTGCCATGTGTTTTTGCGTGTCCAGGCCACCCAGAGGGTATCTAACATGGTTGCCCCGATCTGGGGCAAGGTTTTTACATGTCCAGGCCGCACAAGGAGTATCTAAAATGGCGTCTGGCCCAGCGCCGAATCATCAGGAAACGCACGGGGGGCCGAAAAGCGCCTCCCGAACACATACCCGAATACTGACAAGTTACGCTTTTCTGCTCTGGACAGGGCGCGGCGCCGTTGGGGGCCTCGTCAGGGAAGACATTGCGAAGATGTCTCCAGCAGGAGCGCGAGTTAGCGTATCCAGACCACCCAGGGGGCATCTAACATGAGTATCCAGAGCTGGAGCCACGTGGTTTTGCGTGCCCAGGCAAACCAGAGGGGTATCTAATATGGTGGTCCCGAGCTGGAGCCACATGTTTTCATACGTCCAGGCCAAACCTAACATGGTGGTCCTGCGCTGGAGCCCCATGTTGGTACGTGATCAGGCCTCCCAGAGAGGTATCTAGCGTGGTGGTCCCGAGCTGGGGCCATGTATTTTCACCTGCCCAGGCCACCCAGAACAAACGGTATCTACCATGGTGGTCCTTAGCTGGTCCCATGTGTTTTCACGTGTCCAGATCACCCAGAGGGGCATCTAACATGGTGGTCCCGAGCTGGAGCCACATTTCTTCACGTGTGCAGACCACCAGGGTGGATATCTGACATGGTGATCCCGAGCTGGAGCCATGTGTTTAACCTACGCAGGCCGCCCGGGGAGGTGGGGGGTATCTCACATGGCTGCTTTTTCTTCCGAGCTGGAACCTTGTGTTTTCATGTGTCCAGGCAACCCAGACAGGTACCTAGCTTGGTGAAAGGTATCTAACTTGGTAGCCCCAAGCTGCAACCACTTTTTTTTTCTCGTGTCCAGGTCACCCAGGAGGGTATTCAACATGGTGGCCTCGAGCTGGATTCATTTGTTGCCACGCGTCCAAGCCACCCAGTGGGGTGTCTAACATGGTGGTCCCGAGCTGCGGGCCACACATGCGGAGTTATCCAACATGTGGTCGTCTGGGCGCTCGTAGCGTGAGGGCCCCCAAGAGCCAGACAACATCAATACATCGGCACCAGATGTGTAATAAACTGACACAGTTGTTCGGCTGGTGATCTGGCAGATTTCCCATTGTAGGGTATCTAGCATGGTAGTCCCGAGGTGGAACCGTCTGTTTTCATTTGTCCAGGCCACAGGCGGATATCTAACATGGTGGTCCCGAGCTGGAGCCACGTGTTTTCACGTGTCCAGGCCACCCAGAGCGGTATCCAATTTCGTTGCTCCGAGCTGGAACCACGTGTTTTCATGTGTCCAGGTTACCCAGGGCGGTATCTAACATGGTTGCCCCGAGCTGGAACCATTTGTTTCGCATGTCCAGGTCATTCGGGTGGGTTCTATCTAACATGATGGCCCCGATCAGGAACCGCCTGTTTTCTGTTCCCCGCAAAGGACGTCAGCCCAGTTTTTTGTTCTACAGAGTTGTTTGAAAACATATTGTCAGTAGCATATTCAAGAAGCGCCCTGGGCTCCTTCAGTCTGAAGGAGCCCTGCGGATGCTTTCCTGGACATACAGCGAGGTCGAGGAGGCTCAGGCGAAACGTTGGGCCCGAGCTGTTTCTGCGGCCCGGGGCGGACGAGTACGTGGAGGACCAAGAGGAGAAGGAGGGAGAATGTGTATCATAGCGAAGACCATCAGGAGAACTGGGCTGCGACGAGCAAGAGCGTTGTGCCTCCTCCTCCTCCTCCCTCCCCTCTTCTCCTCCCCCCCTGGCCTGGGCCAGCCCTGGCCTGGCAGCCCTGGCCCAGGCCTTCCAACCTGCTCCGCCGGCCGCTTCTGCCGCCGCCGCCGCACCGCCTCTCTTGCTTCGCTGCGCGGCCGATGCCGCTCAGTGGGCCGTTCCAATGGAAATTGAAGAGGAGCGCGAGGAGGAGGTCATGGTACTTGGCGGAGGCGGGTGCGGAAGACGACTGTCAGAGTGATCGCGGGTTGATGGCACGGCGCAGCCACAGCAGACGTTCCGGCTCAAGACGTCTTGCAACACAGTATGCACCTGTTTTGTGCTTCTAGCTTGGCCGTGCAGCTCGTCTAGCGACATTGGCCAATAGCAGTGTTGCAGATCGTATTGCTGCAGACCGTGTATGATCGTGTTGCTGCAGAGCGCCTTCGCCATCCTGGTTTCGGTGGGGCGGGCGGCGTCCAAGACCGACACGCTCCTCGCGGGCGCCCCCCAGGCGAGGAGCATGCTGGGTGCGAGCCTGTCTTTCCCTGGCGTCACGTGGGCCACGAGCACCCTGGCAGAGGGAACGACATGCTGGACAGACCGGTCGGATTATCATTACTACTGGGTCAACACGAGCGGCATCCCGTCCGGAATTCCCTTCTGGATGGGACCCCACAAGGAATATGCGTCGGGCAGTTTTACGATCTCCGCCTCTCAGTCTGGCACGCTGTACTTCTGGAGCGAGGACGCTGAGGCCAACGGGCGCGACGGCGGATTCCAGTCGACATATTCGGATTACGCGTTAGGCAGTATGACATGGAATGGTGACGGGAATGGTAACGCCATAAGGACATACTCGATGTCAGTGACCGGCGGGGGCAGCAACAAAGCACCTCACCAACCTCCAGGGTCCATTTCGATCCGGTCGATTCGATTCGATATCGATTGCTTCCCCGGCTCGATCTGTACCCCGACGATCGGATGCGGTCCGAAGCTTGCCTGGCGCTGTTGTGCATACTGGCGAAGCCGACTCAATCCGATGTCGGCTGTCTGCCGGTGCAGCCCAATCTGGCGCACATTTCGATTCGATCCGACTTCCCGATGCGATGTTTCAGCCACGCGCAGAGGGGGGTGGGGGGAGTGGGGAGGGCTTCTTAGAAGCACCCCTGCTTCTTAGAAGCCGCGGGCCTCATCTAATGATGTAACGCCGGCGCCTTCTAAGAAGCAGCCTCCTTCTAGGAAGCCCTCCCCCCTCCTTCCACCCCCTTGTGCGCGCCGCCAAGAATAACCCCAGACTCCTCCCAGGATCCATTCTGGCCCGTTTTCCCAGGCGGGCCCCGTCGTGGCGACGAGACGCCTCCTCCAGGAGGCCCATAGAAAGAAGGGCAGGGCAACGCCAGGGAGGGCGCCGCCGTGGTCTCGAGTGGCCCTCCTCCTCCCTCCTCCTGACGGCTCCTCCTCCTCCTCCTCCTCCTCCTCCTCCTCCTCCTCCTCCTCGTCCTCCTCGTCCCTCCACCCCCGTGTGTGCGCCGCCAGATGTTGGATGATCCATGCCCTCCCCGCTTCTCCCTGCGGGCCTGGAGCGCCAGCTGGTCGGTCGGCCAGCGGAGTCCACAGGCGGCGGCGGCGGTGGCGGCGCGCGCGGGAGGGGGGGGGAAGGCCGGGCCTCTGGCGCCAGGGGAGCGGCGGGGAGCAGAGGAAGGGGGAGCTCCTCCCCCTCCCCTCCTCTCTCCTCCTCCTCCTCCTCCTCCTCCTCTCCTCCTCCTCCTCCTCCTCCGTCTGGCGTCAATGGCGTTTTTTCTTATCTTATCCTCCTCCGCCCTCCTCCTCCTCCTCTCCCTCTCCTCCTCTCTCCTCCTCCTCCTCCTCTTCGTCCTCTCCTCGTCCTCCTCCTCCTCCTCCTCCTCGTCCTCGTCCTCCTCCTCCTCCTCCTCCTCCTCCTCCTCCTCCTCCTCCTCCTCCTCCTCCTCCCCCCCCCGCAGCTACCACCATAGGGGCTGCTGGAGCCCCACTCCCATCAGCACACCAATACATGAAGCCGTCATTGGCACCGGAGGGGGCCGAGGCCCTCCCTACGGTCCCTCGGCCGCCGCAGGGAGGGGTGCCAACGTATCTCCATAACTCAGACCTGAATATCTTAAGGCGCAAATTGCTACCATCCAGCGTCTCCCTCCTCAGGGCCGCGAGTGGGATTTTTTCGCCTTCAGCTGGTTGTGCCCGTCAATGTCAGTTCACCTGCGCGCTATGGCGCATTGGCCACCCCCCACCCATCCAAAATGCTGAACCTGGGTGTTGGAGGGCTTTTCGTGCCATTTCAGTGTCACTCATGCGGCCACTTCGCCCACGCTCCAGCCACCAGGGTGACGGTTCGACCCGTGCCGCCACCTCGTCATGTGTGCCGTCGTGGTGTCACTCATGCGGTCGCTCCCTCTCCCCGCCCCCTTACCAGGGTGATGGTCCGACCCCTGCCGCAACGGCGTCATACGTGCCGCTGTGGTGTCACTCGTGTGGCCGTTCCCGCCCCCCGCCCCCTCTGGCGTGCTCCTCGAGGACTCGCCTGGGTGACATAGAATATGTGTGTACGCGCGAACATCTCACTCACAACCCTGCCCTTCCCCCACTGTCTGCTGCTCTGCCCGTTCGTGTGCGTTTGCCCCCCTCGCCTACGCTGCCCCCCCCCCACCCCCACCCCCAATGGCTGGGTGTCGCTTCTCTCTCTCTCTTTCTCTCTCTCTCTCTCTCTCTTCTTCTCTCTCTCTCTCTCTGTGTCTCCCCTCTCTGCCACCTCTGTCCAACGTCAGCGCTGGGTGGTTGAACCAGTCGTGTTCGCCTTCGAGCCGCAAGCTGGTCTGGCGGGGAAATGAATGTCCACTGGAAGGCAAATCGCTTGCAGCGAAGTGCCCGGTCTTTCTGCTCACTTGTAAGCGAAGCATTTTGCCAGCAACGCACTTGCAGTCACGTGTCTGGTCTTCCTGCTTCCCTGGGGTCGGTTTGGACTGGGCCTTGAGTCAAGAACTGGCTGGAATTACCCCTCCTTTCCCCCTCCTCCCAGAGGTCGGGCACAGTTTCGTGCGTCATTCAGGCCCTCCTCATTCAGGATCCCCGCGGTCAGGCCTAAATTTCACGGGCGGCCAGATCACCTCGGATCCCCGCGCTCAGGCCTCGGCTTCACGGACGGCCAGACCATCTCGGACATCGGCCTTTCCTCCCTCCCCTCCTCTGGCGAGGACCACCGCAGGGCCCTGCCACTCCGGCGGTGACCATGGGTTGCCGGGGTCCCACTCCCACGAGTTCACCAATACATTAAGCTGTCATTGGCGCCCGAGGGGGCCGAGGCCCCCCCTACGGTCCGTCGGCCAACGAAGACGGCCGCAGGGAGGGGTGCCGACGTACCAGCACAATTCTGACCTGAACACCGTAAGGCACCATCTGCCACCATCCGGTGCCCTCCTCGTCCCCCTCCTCCTCCTCCTTCTCCTCCCTCCTCATCTTTTTCCTCCTCCTCCTTCCTCCCTTCCTCCTTCACTTCCTCTTCCTCCCCTTCCTCCCTTCTCCCCGTCCTTCTCCTCCTCCTCCTCCTCCTCGTCTTCCCCCTCTTCCTCTTTCCCGTCCCCTTCCTTTTCTGCCTCCTCCACCTCCTCATCCTCATCCTCGTCCTCTCTCCCTCCTCATCCTCTTCCTCCTCCTCGTCCTCATCATCCTCTCCCTCCTCATCCCCGTCCTCTCCCTCCTCGTCCTCTTCCTCCTCCTCCTTGCCCTCCTCACCTCTCCCGTGGCGCGCCCCCGCCTCGTGCAATTGCGGGGGATGGGCCGGGTGCGCGGCTCTCGCCCCCCCCCCCCCCGAGGTGGGACGACCGTGTCCATCCACAAGGCAACGACCGAGTTTGTCGGCGGGTTTGCGTGGGAGTCGGTCGCCCGAGGGGGGGGTGTCTCTTTCTATTGTTTTGCATGTGTTATTTTCTCTCTCTTTCTCTCTTTCTCTGTTTCATGTCCTTTCTCTCCCAGGGATCAAAGGCTATTTGTTTCAACCCAGCGTGTTTTTTTTCGGATTTCGGCTCCCGGGGCCCGTTGTCGGGCCCAGGGGCCATCTAGCAGGGATCTGGGACGAAAAACCATTCCCAGGGAAGGGGTCGGGAACTGTGGGGCCGCGGATGGAAAAATGGGTTCGGCGGGTGTTTGGGTTTGGCCGCTGAGAGGGAGAGAAGGCGTCCCTACTCGTACGTTAGCCAGCACACCTAACATTGCGCTTCTGGCGATAGGCGCTGTGCAGCGCACGTTGTGCTATCGATGTGGTGAAATATATGCTGTGCAGGCAGTCTGTGTAGTGCAATCTGTTGTGTGCCGTCTATGCTGTGCAACCTCTTATGTGCAATTTGTCGAGTGCGAACCGAATCATGCAGTCGAGATCGCCTGATAGGTTCTGTACATCAGAGGTGAGAAAACAATATGTGAAAGCAACACTTGTGCTACAGCTTATCTGGTGCAATACACAATAGGTGGTACCATATGTGTTGTGCAATGCATGTGAAGCACTATATGTCCATTCTATTTAGCATGTGGCATCTGTTGTGCCGAATCGGCATAGTGGAATCCATTTGGTGCAATCTGCGTGATGCAAGTAACCCAGTGCTACGTATGTGGTGCAACATATGTGTTGCAACATATGTTGTCGAATCTATGGTGTGTAATTCATTTGTGAAAATCGCAGCTGGCAGCTCCATGAATCGCGCAATTACCCCACCCACCCACCTTCAATTTGTTTTGCAAAACATGTGCGGCGGTGTTACGATGAGTATTTGGAGTTGGCTGATGCGTCTCGGCGGCCGCGCTAGCCCGCGCATACTCGCGCGCGCAGCGGCCAGCTACTTAGGCGCGACCGCCGTGGCCGCGGTGGCGCTGACCGTTGGGCACTTCCCAGCGGGAACTTCCATGCGAATCGGTGACTTGCACGGGCGCGGTATCATGGCAACGCAACGCCGCCAACGGTAGACACGATGATGATAGTAGTAATAGTAGCCACGCTGGTGGGGATGATGGCAATGGTGACGGCACGGCCAGTGCCGGCGCCGATGCCAATGACGCCTGCGACGGTGACGGCGTCCTCGCGTCGGTGATGAAAGTTTTGGAAGGAGTTCGACATGCGCGCGCGGCCGACCCGCGAGAGCGCCCCGCATGTTCCCAACCCTCCTTGGTTGGGTATTCGTTTTGAATAGAGCAGGGTGGTCGCGTCACTCCTCCTGCCTCCCGCCTCCCTCTTGCCTCTTCCTGTCTTGCCTGCGGGGGGCTGCGATCTGTGAAACTGTCGCCACTTTCGAGGCCTGCTGGGGGGCCCAGCACAGTGAGGGCCACGGGCGGATTCAAATTAGACCTCGCCATCCCTGGGGGGCTGCGATCTGCGAAACTGTCGCCATTTTCGAGGCCTGCTGGGGGGCCCAGCACAGTGAGGGCCACGGGCGGATTCAAATTAGACCTCGCCATCCCTGGGGGGCTGCGATCTGCGAAACTGTCGCCATTTTCGAGGCCTGCTGGGGGGCCCAGCACAGTGAGGGCCACGCGCGGATTCAAATTAGACCTCGCCATCCCTGGGGGGCTGCGATCTGTGAAACTGTCGCCATTTTCGAGGCCTGCTGGGGGGCCCAGCACAGTGAGGGCCACGCGCGGATTCAAATTAGACCTCGCCATCCCTGGGGGGCTGCGATCTGCGAAACTGTCGCCATTTTCGAGGCCTGCTGGGGGGCCCAGCACAGTGAGGGCCACGCGCGGATTCAAATTAGACCTCGCCATCCCTGGGGGGCTGCGATCTGTGAAACTGTCGCCATTTTCGAGGCCTGCTGGGGGGCCCAGCACAGTGAGGGCCACGGGCAGATTCAAATGAGACCTCGCCATCCCTGCGGGGCTGCGATCTGTGAACCTGTCGCCACTTTCGAGGCCTGCTGTGATCCCCGTTTTCGAAGTGGCTAGGAGTGCTCAGGAATTGTAAATCATCAGCTTTATCAAGCCCTTTTCCTGTAGCCAGTGTCCTGCGAGTCTCCCGAATTCCGTCTGCAGACATATGTAACCCTCGCTCCGTCATCGCCCCCTTATAAAGTATCCTAAACTATTAGCGCCCCGCTTTTGCGCAGGGGTTGGGTACGTCGCCAGGGTAATTTTTATTCTACACGGATCGTGCCCACCAGTACGAGCGCAAGGGCATCCAAACGATGCCAACATGCGGCGCGGAAGCCTTGTCTGGCCGAGCGCAATGAAATGTTTGAAGAATAACTTGTACTCCCTCAAGTATTCGCAGGAACGCGGGCGCAAACCTTCGTGGAAACTGATGTTGTTGAAGGGTTTCGGCATGCGCGCGCGACCGCGCGCGCGGGTACTTATCGTCCCACATTTTGCATGGGATTCTTGCGACAGCACGCGCACAAGGATGTTCGAGGGATTTCGGCATGCGCGCGAGAGGCCAACCTGGTAGCATTTCAAAGCCATATAGAACATATGACGGCTTGCATCAAAAATCTGCAAGAGCGCGAGCGCATGTTTTTTTTGTTTTTGAACATCTTTGTTGCGAAGCAATAGGTGTTTGTATGTTTTCGGGGCATTCGATTTTGAACTCTCTACGCAACCGCATGTGGGTGTCCGCATGCGCGCGCGACGTCGCGCGCGTGCGCACTTCGTCCCAGATTTTGCCTGCTACTTTTGAAAACTGACGATTTGTGGTGAGTGCGCGCGCGTCGTTTGTTTTTTTTCCCGGAAAGGGCGTCGGCCCAGGGTTCTCTTTTAGTCTGTAAACATGTCCCCGGTGCCCAACTTGAAGGAGGCCGGCGGATTCTTTCCCTGATAAATATCGAGGTCGAAGGAGGCCGGCGGATTAAAATTTGAGGATGTCTCAGGCGAAACGCTTGTTTTTGAAATCCCGATCGATAAATCACAGGGTGCGGGACACCTCAGCACGACCACACCCCCAGCATGACCACACCCCAGCACGACCACGCCCAGCACGACCACGCCCCAGCACGACCACACCCCAGCACGACCACACCCCAGCACGACCACACCCCAGCACGACCACACCCCAGCACGACCACACCCCAGCACCAGCACGACCACACCCCAGCACGACCCATCGACCACACCCCAGCACGACCACACCCCAGCACGACCCCACCCCAGCACGACCCCACCCAGCACGACCACACCCCAGCACGACCACACCCCAGCACGACCACACCCCAGCACGCACGACCACACCCCAGCACGACCACACCCCAGCACGACCACACCCCAGCACGACCCCACCCCAGCACGACCCACCCTAGCACGACCACACCCCAGCACGACACACCCCAGAACGACCACACCCCAGCACGACCCCACCCAAGCACGACCCCACCCCAGCACGACCACACCCCAGCACGACCACACCCCAGCAGGACCCCACCCCAGCACGACCCCACCCCAGCAAGACCACACCCCAGCACGACCACACCCCAGCACGACCTCACCACAGCACGACCACACCCCAGCACGACCACGCCCCAGCACGACCACGCCCCAGCACGACCACGCCCCAGCACGACCACCCCCCAGCACGACCACCCCCCCAGCACGACCACCCCCCAGCACGACCACCCCCCAGCACGACCACACCCCAGCACGACCACTCCCCAGCACGACCACACCGCCTTGGTTGAGTGGTTGCCTGTCGTCGTGGAATGTTTCGTGGGGTGTCTCGTGGAATGTTTCGCGGGGTGTCTCGTGGAATGTTTCGTGAGGTGTCTCGTGGAATGTTTCGTGAGGTGTCTCGTGGGATGTTTCGTGAAGTGTCTCGTGGGATGTTTCGTGAGGTGTTGCCCAGTTGGGTATCGTGAAAACGTGTCCATGCTCCACATGTCTATATCCCTTTCCGGGTTCGTGGGTCCATCATGTTGTGTGCAGAGGATGCGAGAGGGGGTTCGGGGACGAACCCCCGCCGGGCTGGGACGCCATGGGCTCATTTGGGAAACGAGCAAGGAGTCATAATCATATGCAACGTTCCAGTGCGCGAGGCCAGCCCGAAAAGTCCGGTGGGGCGATGGGGGTAGTATCTCATTTCGTTGACGAGCGGAGAGCATATGTGGTGCAAAGTGCGTGGTGCAATTGGTTTTCCCGGAAAGGGCCTGAGCCCAGGGTTCTCTTTTAGAGGTTTAGCCCCGGAGTCGACGGCTGTAGGGCCGGCGATTTCTTTTTCGATATAACGAGGTCGCGCAGTGCCGGCAAATTTTTGTTTTGAGGATATCTCGAGCGAGACGCTTGTTTCTCAGAATTTGTTGAGGACGTCTTGAGCGAAGCGCTCGTCTTGTGTTATGGATCGTTCCTCTCCTCGGGGACAGGATTCGGAGGATGTCTCAGGTGAAATGCTTGCTTCCACGTGCCCAGATATCGAGGCTGTCTCGATCGAGACGCTTCGAGGATGTCTCGAGCGAAATGCTTGTTTTGCAGAGCTCGAGCGGCCTGGGCGCCCCAGGATGCCCAGGTGGTTCTGTGAGTGCGAACGCAGCGTAATTTACTAAGGAACGTGGCCCTGAGAGCGCGGACACAGCGTAATTCAAATTGGAACGCAGCCCTGGGAGCGTGGACGCAGCGTGGTTTACGAGGGACCCCCTGGCACGGTCCCTGGCGCGTTTCGTGGCGAGTCCCGTGGCCGGTCCCCCTGGTATGTCGCGCGGCGCGTCCCCTGGCACGTCCCGTGGCACCTTTATTGGCGCGTTCCGTAGCGCGTCCCCTTGGCACGTCCTGCGGTGCGTCCCCGTGGCACGTCCCCTGGCACGTCGCCTGGCGCGTCCCTTGGGACGTTGCGTAGCGCGTCCCCCTGGCCTGTCCCCTTGTCTAGTAGCTTTTTGGCAGCAGCTATATGCTCATACAGCTCGAGCTTAAGATCAATAC